GGTTTGCACATAATGTTAAATTGGAAATAAACTTCCTGTGTTAATTTATTCATTTCAGTCCTCTCCCCTTGTTCTGTGAGCCTTGAGGAACAGTTACAAAATCACAGCTATTTTCAGTAGGAAGTAACTGTGGCACTCCAGATGTTGCTAACTACTAGAATACTCCCGGCATCCATCACTATTGGCTGTACTTCCAAGGGAATTGTAGCTGAGAACATCTGTCTCTGGTTGCTTAAATCTTACCCAAGATCAGCTAATGAACTCAAGGATGGCATGATTTGAACCTTATTTTCCCGTTTCAGTCCAGCACTCCCCCGCACCCATTTAGTTAAAAATGGGGCAGCCATATCTTGACTCTAAAAATCAAGATAAGCACTAATGACAACAAATAGACAGGTAGGAGAGATTTCTGAGATGTTACAGTAAGAAGTGCTTGGCCTTTCTCCTCTAATGTTTCCTCAGTTTAATAGCTACTTACCGGCAACCTACTATGAATGAGCTGTAGAGTTCAATTTAACCATTCCCCATTCCTGCGAGGGGTGGACATGAGGAAAAAAGATGATGCAGTGATGTTGAATAAAATCTGAAGGGAAACATTCCCTGATGTTAATGGAACAACGGCAAGATAGAAATGGAACAAAATGGCTGTTTTGGGAAGGCTTACTTAATGGACACAATTCGGGATCTCCTGTGGCACATCTGCTATGGCTTTTATACTTTCTGCTGCTTTAGTTTCTAGGAAACAATTTTTTCTTCACTAAATTCAGAGCCAGGTTGGAATGGGCAAGTGTATCACTTTTAGCTTAGTGCCATGTGGAAGACATTAGCAAGTGCCAACATCTTGGAAAATTTGAGGGTTCTATTTATATTATGCAGGCAGGAAATAAAGAGTAGACAGTCTGAGGGTGTAATGACTGGAGGAGGGAGACAGGAGACAGCCAGACAGAGACTATTGAGGATTTAAAGGGCAAGCAAAACTTAAGCGAGTGGCTATTCTTTTTTTTTCTTTTTTTAAAAAACATATTGTTTCAAAGTAATGTACAGATTTACCCAACATCTATTATGGGTTAAATTATAACAGAGCATCAGGTTTTAGCTTTATCGTGATTTGCAAATATGCTTTTGGGTCCCACATGGGCCCCATTAAGACCCCATGTGCCCAGCCATGCTGACAGTGGAAGGCATTTTGTGACATACCATGCTCACTTAATTCTGTGGAATCCTTGGTGCTCTCTGAGCTTTCTTTTCTTGCAGAAAATTTCTTCCTGGAATTCAAAAATGTTCTGGAGGGTATAGCTACCCAATATATTACTAATTAATCATACATAGTCAAATATATTGTATATATTTTGTCACATCAAAAGACTAAGCGTCACTATTAAAGTCATCAGAATTTTCTCTCTTGTATGAACAAATAACAGACAAGATTGATGCAGTGAGGTAAACTCTGGAAACTGAGTTGCAGATCTGTGTTATTTCCAAATGTTTTATACTGTCAGGGAGACATATGTGGTGATGCTGGGGAGCTTTGGGAAGTGATGGAACTATACAAATAGTGAAATAATAAATAGCAATATTTAATTATCATTGAGTTGATGAATTGATTTTAATATTTCAGAAACCATAAATATAGATTTTCTCTATGATAATCTGCCCCTCACTTAATTTTTCGGGTTTTCCAATAATATAACCATCACCATTGTAACTGAGTCTATCCATCTCGCTTTTGGTTGTCCTCATCTGTTTTCTTCCACCTTTCCTAGTGTCAGAGCTTTCTCCAGAAGGCACACATATGCACCTCTCCATTTACTTGTAAAAAGAAGATTTCAGATTATCCTGTTGGAATAAATGTCCACCTGGGTTCAGTTCCAAGTGGGGGAAAAGACACTGGATTCATGGAAGTTGCTTGGAAAGAAGGTTTACTGATGAACAGGATCACATGTCTTGGAGATCTCTGGGGCGAAAAAAGGGAAGAGATGCTGAGAGTCCCTGGGTTTTATGCCCTCTGTTAGGCTTTGAATTTGAGCTTGTATTCTGATTGGTTGTCAGACTCCCATGTGGCCATGCAAGGGCAACTCTGTAGGCTGTGTATCTCCCAGGCTTGGTTGAGCCTTGCTGGCTGATGTAATGAAGGGGCTTTGGGCAATTCCTATTGTGACTCTGCTAGAAGGAGCTAGATCTTTGTTATTTAGAATAGACTGGCCCAGACCTTAATGGCCCATTGACAAGGGGAAATATTCTGCCCTTTTAATATTTCCTAAAATATTTTCCTAATATTTTAGTATTTCATTTTTCTAGGAGAGGGGTGGGTGCTAACTTCCTACATATATGCCCCTAGTAGTATGCCAACATATACAAAAATAAAAACCTTAATGAATCTGAAATTTGGAGTTTGGAATGAAGTATTTTAGATTTACGTAACAGAAAGTGAATCGTTTGGTTATAACCCTGCAAGATATAATAGGAGAGAAAAGGGTGAACTCTGTAAAATAAAGAATATCTACCAATTACTAAATGTTGGAGTTGCTTTGGGATTGGGTGGCAACCCAGTGGCACAGGAATCTTATAGAGATGGGAGAGTGGATTCAACTAAATGTCAATATATCATAGAAACTAAAGATGCATAATGAATGAAGAAACACACCAAAAAATCCACAAGTTTGAACAACAGTGTTTTCCAGCAACACAATAATCTGAAATATACCTCCATCAACTATAAAATACTTATGGGAAAAAAATAATGGTTTTAGAATGATCGTCAAAGTTGAATATTATTGAAGATCTATACAGAGATCCCAGACATGCAGGAGACTTTAGATTTCTGAATCAGAAGAGTTCTGCAATGAAAAATGGGAAAAATTATGAGAAGCAAAAATAAAAAGATTTGTAGCTGATTAAAGAAAATGTTTGGAAAACATTATTTCGACCAAAAGACATATAATATGTAATGACTGGAAGGATGCCCAAATTTTTGCACCCATCTATATTCATTCTTCATTTATTCTGAATATGCAAACAACTGCACATAAAAAATAAGCATGCATCCAAATTTTCAGAAAGATGCAGTGCTTAACTTTATATAGAGGCTGTGTCAGGTTCTGTTCACTTATAGATTTATTGGCACATGTAAATTAATGAAGTGTGTATAAATTTTTGCAGGCAACCATACATATACTATAAAAAAGTATTAAGACAAGGTCCTTGAGAGTTTTTTTCCTAGATCTACAGGAAGGGGACTGATATCCGGTGGAAATGTGTGAGGTCTTGCTAACTTATCAATTTTACCCAAAAAATGCAGTGGGGTTAACTGGGCTATGCTGACCTAAATTGGAAGATGGTTAGTATGGCAAGTCAACAGCTGCCGTTGATCCTTGTCCAAAAATTCCGAACAAAAAGTTATAAATCACAAATGCCCTGATAAGAAAAGGGAATTGCATTTTTCTTTCAAGCAGAGGAAAAATGTTAGTATAGGAATGAAATTCATTTTTTTGCCTCAAGATAATTGGTTTTTATGTCTTGGTACAATATGATTGATTTAATAAACAATGCAACTCTATGGTATTTAATTGGGTTCTTTGCATTTTCTTGGCCAGTTTTTCCCCCCCTTGCAGACATTTTATTCTTGGGCAAGATAACATAAGTGATGAGAACACTAGGAAACTAATAATTCTGTCTGAGCTACTTATATTTGCAATTATTGCCATTCTGGCATATTTAAATAATTCAGTAGAATTTTCTTTAAAATATAAATACATTGGATTACTTTATAATTTTCCTTGATGGATTGCCTTTCTAACAAACGTCTGTGCAATCAACATTAAGTTTAGTTTCAACACATTCCATGCAGATAATTGTTTTGTTGCTGATCTGAAATATGGCATATCTGAAAAAGTATCCAGAAGAGAGTTATAATGATGATAAATATTCTGGGTATACAAATTGGCTGGTTTCACAGATCATGCTAAATTATAAGATGGTCAGTATGAGTTTGATTGGCATGATGTGTAACACATTACTGGGTGTTATAAACTGATTTATATAGTTATACTGAATGTCACTTTTGTGTCTTTTCCAATAAAGCATAATTAAACCACTTCACAGCTGGTTGTATGGTCCTTTGGATGGATAAGAAAAATAAAACCTATACAGGTAGTCCTCAATTTATGACCACAATGAAGCCCAAAATTTATATTGCTAAGCGAGAAATTTGTTAAGCGAGTTTTGCCCCAACTTTTCTTGCCACATTTGTCGAGTGAATCACAGCGGTTGTTAAGTAACATGGCTGTTAAGTGAGTCTGGCTTCCCCATTGATTTTGCTGGTCAGAAAGTCACAAAAGGGAATCACGTAACCCTTGGACACTGCAACCGTCATAAATACGAGTCAGTTGTCAAGCATCTGAATGTACATCACATGATCATGGGGAACGCTACAACAGTCATAAATGTGAAAAACGGTCATAAGTCCCTTTTTTCAATGCTGTTGTAACTTTAAACGGTCACTGTTGTAAGTCGAGGACTACTTGTAGTTTATTTGATATCTTTGGTATTGTTTAATCTGCCATCCTTGCTTGAGCTTCCTTTTTTAGGATTTCATGGTGATCCAGATCGTTTGGTGTGATTTATGAGGACTAGGGAATTAGGGAATCTCTCTTAAGCTATGATGTGCAGTAGATGTGCCCATTTTAACTAGGTCTTAAGTGTTAAAAGGCCTGTATTGCACTATGAAAAGAGGAAAACACTCTTGAAATAAAGAGCTATGTCTGCTCATTTGCTAATGGCAATTCTACTGGGGGAGAGATTACGCAGACACGGTTGCAATCCCAAGAGAGAAACTCCCTCCTGTTTCTTGGCGGTGATTTGTTCCCATCTCATACAAAGCCAGGGTTTTTTTTTTCCTCCTCTGTTATTCTTTCTTTCATTTGTGTGTGCATGTGTGTGTTTTAAATAAACCTTTTGCAGGATGCCAAATGTTACTTATCTTCCTCCATTACAATTTGCAGCACAGGTTCCGGACAGTGACGAGCAATTTGTGCCTGACTTCCATTCAGAGAACTGTGAGTCTTGAAACGGGGGAGATGGAGAGGTGGGAAGGTCATGCTTTGATGGGGAAGAAGATGAAAAGTACCCAGACATGATGCCAACGTCTGAAATGCCACCATCTGATCCTTCATGCTGAAAAAGCCAGAGCTGAGTTTACTTCTCTGAATATCAGATAGGATTGAAAAAAAAAAAAACCCATCCTGGCCACATGTTTTTAATTCTACCCATGACACTTCTTCTACTTAATTTGCTTCTTGGACATTGTTCTTTTTGATATTCCTACTCTTGATTTATTCCTACTGAATATTTTATTTTAAAATTTTGTTTGTGGAACAAACATATTTGTGATAGTTGGAAGTTTTGTAGGCTGTCAAATAACTTGTTAATGTTTGACATTCAGTTATTGAACATAGGGAGGGCCCTTAAGACTTCTCTTCCCCTGGAAGGGTAGATGAGGGGCCATACTCCTTAGCTAAACAGCCTCTGATTTCTGGCTTCTCATTGCTCCATTAATGGATCTAGGAAGGGGATATTATGGGAATATTTTGGAGCATACCATGGAATCTGGGCACTGAAGTTTCTATACATGTCCAAAACATGAGGCAAAAGCGATACTGGCCCAGGAATTGTCATAATTTATTTTTCTTCTATTATTTTCAGTAGGAGTGAAACACAAAATAAATGTCCTTTTTCCACTCTGCCCTTTGCAAGATAACAAAACTTTGTTAGAGGCCATTCACTGCCACCAATTTTTCCTTGCAATATAGTTTTTATATCCTGAATACTATTTGCGTGCAAACTTAATAATATAATCATTTTAAGTGTTTTTAAAAATCTGGACCACAGTTGGGGGTACAGTGTTTTATTCATCTGAGTATATTTACCTACAGGGGCCTCTTCCTGCCCTTCCTTTGCAATTATAAATCGAAGTGAGCATTTCTAGTCCTTTTAGTTTTGGAAATTTAAGATTATATTATGAACAACATTCACAAACAACAAAGTTCTCTTAAGAGAATTTTTATTCCCAAAATCAGAAAAGATGGGATGTGACTAAAAAAATGATTCCTATTTTTCTGCATTATTAATTTTCATGGTAAAGTACTTGAATAGGTTCAGTGAAATTTGTCCCTTTAGATTTCCCCGTACTTTGTTAATTCATCCTCATCTCCTTCTCTCACATACACTGTAGTGTGTTTTGTTCTGGCAATTGCCTGGATGAGTTCCTGCAGTTGTCTTGGCAAGATTTAGAAGTGGTTTGCCTTTCTTGGACTGAGAGAGAGTGACAGGCTCAAGATCCCCACACTGGCTTCATGATTCATGGCAGGCCTAGAACTCATGGCCTCCTGATTCCTAGCCGGATGGCTAAACCACTACACCAAACTGACTCTCCCTTACCTCTCTAGCCTACCATATTTTCATTGCAAACCCTTTGTGGCCCTAGGCCTGCATTCCATATTAGGCTTCGGTTACTGTTCTCTTCTGTTGTGTCTGTATACTGTTGTTACTATGGTATAGTAATGCCATAATGCCCAATTTTGTTTAAAAGGATTTCTTACATATACAGATTAGGTTGGATCGAGATTTGAGAATATGTGACTGCAGTTAGGTGTGACTAACGACCTGTAAATTATGTTTCAGTTCAATGAGTATAGTCTAAGGCACGGATCTGCAACCTTAAACACTCAAAGAACCATTTGGACCCATTTTCTCACAGGAAAAAAAACACATCAGGAGCCACAAAACCTGGGTGGGCGTGGCCAACTCAATGTCACTCACTCCCACCCAGTCACATGACCCCCTAGCCACACCTACTCAGCACAAAACCATTCTGTCTCTCTCGTCCTCCCCCATCTCCCCCTCTGTCCTCCTCTATCTCTCTGCCCCTCCCACTTCTGTATCTCTCTGCATCTCTGTCCCTCTCCCTATCTTCCCATCTCTCCCCCCTCTCTATCTCTCCCCCCTCTCCTCTCTCCCCCTGGCTGTCTCTCTCCCTCTGTATCTCTCTTCCCCTCACTCTGTGTATCACTCTGTATATGTCTCTCTCTGTCTCTTTCTCACATCCTCTGTGTATCACTCTGTGTGTCTCTCTGTCTCTCCCACTCTCTGTGTATCACTCTGTATGTCTCTCTCTTCTTCCCCGCCTTCTCTGTGTGTGTCTGTCTGTCTGTCTGTCTGTCTCTCTCTCTCTCTCTCTCTCTCTCTCTCTCTGAAAGCAGCGGCTGGGCCAAGCCAGCAAGCTCTTCTTGGGGCGCTTCGCTACTCCTTTTATTTCTTCTTTTTGGAAATCTGGGCTGGCTGAGGAATGATCGTCAGAAGCGGCAGAGGCTTCACTTCAGGTCTTCCTCTTTCCCCTCCTTCTCCTCTCATGACCCCTGGCCAGCTGTGGTTGAGCTGGGAGTGTGCGCAAGCATGGGGAGACCCTCCGCAACTGAACACCAAAGCCCAGCAAAGGCGTGTGCGCTTAAGAAAGATCTTAACAGGACACAACAGGATGCGGCTTCTCTCCTGCATTGAAGCTCAGGCCACCGCCTTCCATGTCGTCTCCCACCCCTGGCAGCTCTTTGGCTGAGCACGGAGGGCACGAACTCCAGCCTGAAGTGGCAGGAAGTGAAAGCTGCCTTACACACAAATGTGGCCCAAAGCAGGTACAGGGCTGCTTTGCTCCTGCACTCTCTGATGATCCTCCTCCCCCTCCTCCTCTTGTGACCCCCTGGCTGGCTGTGGCTGAGCCAGGAGTGTGTGCACGTGTGGGGAGACCCTCCTTAAGTGAGCGGCTGCCTGCCCTGCACACGCCTTTCCTGCACTTTGCCGCTCACTTGAGGATGGTATCCCCATGCATGTGCACACTCCCAGCTCAGCCACATCCCGCCAGGGGGTCACAAGAGGAGGAGGAGGGGGGAGAGTTGCCCAAAGGTAAGCCTCTGCTGTGGCTGGCGATCGTTCCTCAGCCAGCTTGGATTTCCAAAAATATCCAAAAAAAATAAATTAATAAAAGGGGCGAGGGGTGGGGTCAACCAGTGATGGGACAGGGAGCCACAGCAGAGGGCCCAAAGAGCCGCATGCAGCTCCAGAGCCGTGGGTTGCTGACACCCAGACTAAGGGTTTCATGTACGCAGGAGAATAAGCAGAAATTTTAACTATCAAATTATAATTTGATATAATCCAAATCTGAACAAATACAAACTAAACAAGTTATGGCACTTTTGTAGGCCTTTAGATGCCATTACATAACCTGGTTTGAAAGGCCAACCACACTCACAAAATCATCCAGATCTTATGAAATTTAAGCTGCCTCAATCCAAGACCTGGGCAGATTCTGCCATTTGTTTTTATTAAACTAAAGAAATGTTCTAATTTTAAGGAGATGTAGATACATGTAAGGCAAGGGCATTTGTGGGGAGGAAGCAGTGGTGGGATTCAGCCAGTTCGCACCACTTTGGGAGAACTGGTTGTTAACTTTGTGAGCAGTTTGATGAACTGTTTGTTGGAAGAAATCATTAGGGCAGAGAACCGGTTGTTAAATTATTTGAATCCCACCACTGGGAGAAAGAAAAATAATCAAGATGAAGACCATGAGCCCATAATTAACCCACCCCTCCTTTTTATTTAACTTGTGCTTGATGCACTATTGGGTTTCTATTGTATGATGGTTCTTGATTAAAATGTTCTTTATAGGAAGTAAATGACAAAAATACCTAAGACTCATAGAAAAGAATACTCCGCTCATAGTTTCTCATAGAAACTCCTAGAACATCATAGAAATTCATGGAAGAGAACCTAAAACTCATGTCTTTATGACTGACTCAATACGTATCCAACCAAAGTGAGCATAAGAAGAAAGAAGCATGAAAATTTGTTGGAAGATTCTGAGTCCTGCCCTTTAAAGGGTTAATACTGTGGGCGAAAATTGGAGGACAAACAGCTGTGTGAAGCTCCTTTTGAAAGGTCAGGTTGTAAATCTAAATTTAATGAACAAACACAACATTCCAAGGAATTTCTCAGATAGAACTGAGATGATCTAATCTAAATAACTATTGAAACAGAGGGATGGAGCTGCATGAAATACAGAAACTGCCTTATTTCATATAGGACAATTTTATGATTACTTTATGATTCTTGATGAATGTATCTTCTCTTTTTATGTACACTGAAAGCATAGGCACCAAAGAAAAATTCCTTGTGTGTCCAATCACACTTGGCCAATAAAGAATTCTATCTTCTATCTATCTATTGTTAGCAGACTATTGCCTACCTGGAATGGAACCAGACTCTTAGGCCATTTTCATAATCAATTTATGTATTCTTAACCAAGTTTAAACCTGGGAGTTCTGAATGCTAAGAATATCCTCTTGTACAAAGTCCTATCTCAGATTCCTTTGTAGCTAGGCTCTGCAAATACAATTCCCATGCAGGTTAAAGCACCTCTCCCCCACCCCTTCAAATCAGAGGGAACATCTAGTTCTCAATTTCTTGTTTAGGGTTGCGAGGGGAGGGAAGTCCTTGCCCCCTTGTTATGCTTAGTTGATGCAAACTCAGGCTGATGAGTATCCTGATGTCCTTACTCTTCTTTTTTTCCCACCCAGTGGCCCTTCACAGTCCTCCAGCTAAGATAAAAAAGGAACCACAAAGCCCATGTGTGGATGCTTCCAGTTCCTGCAGACACACACAGTCTTTTCATTACCAACCCAGGGAGCAATGCTTATATGCCAGGTAATGCTGCTACGGAACAAATGCTGATCACTTTGTGTTCCTGCAGTCTTCTGTTAGGAATTGCCAAGAATGCTAAGTGGAGGTTCCCTTCAGATCTTGCTGGTTCTGGCAAGTTTGAGAAAAAGGCCAAGACATGCAGAAGTTAACTACAGCCAAGCCTCGTAACACTGTATTGTCCAATAACTCACCACTATCCTGCATATTTTGAAGCTAAGAAAACCTGGTGTCCATATTGGTTGGCAACTTAATATGTTGGTAGTGCTGATTGGTTGATAAATAGTCAATACCAAGTCTGTTCCACCCTCCCACTAGTGAGTATCAGTATCATCCAGATGTAGGAATTTATTCATTAACCATCAAGTTGAGTCTGATCATATAAATGCAGTTATTAAAAAGGGATGGAGGAGAACTGAATTTCATAGATCAGTGGTGTAAATGTAACAAATTGGATGTTTGACAATTCAGAAAAGTAAAACAAGACTATTAAAATTGTGCTTGGGGGATGAAACAAAGGAAGTGTCAAAGGGACTAAATGAAGTTAGATGATCAAGCTTCTGCTGTAAAAATTAATGAAGGGCTCTTGGACATGTTGTAAGTAGAATTTGCTATCAGTTCTTGGCTCAACAATACACGGTCTTTTTATTCTTTTGTTTGCAGGTTGATTAGAGTAGAATGCATGAAGACTCTGCATGTTTTAAAACCAAGTGAAGTGTTTTGGGCCTCACAAAAGCACAACACTTCTTGACTAATAATTAAAGCATCCTGAATTTTCTCAAACATCTGTATGAACCTGGGAAAAAAATGCCACTGATTGTAAGGAATCAGGAGATTTGTGATTCTTAAATTCTTTTTTTTTTCCTGGATTGCATGAAATCTTGAAAATAATCAATATGTAATGATGTATAGCCAAGAGGTGCTTGGAGTTTATGCAAGGTGTGAAACCCTTCATCATTTTCATAGGCTGCACAGTTTTAATTTGCATTCTTATTCTAAACTGGGCCGGCTGCCTTTTCAGTATTAGGCTCAATTCAGAACACTACCTTTTTAAAAAGCACATACAAAACCTTTGCAGATGGGAAGTTACTGCTGAAATTATTCAATAAGTTTAATTTGGAGTGATGATTGAAAAAGACATATGATAATGATTCATTTTACCCTAAGAATTTTAAATAATAGAGCAAATTTTTCTGCTTCCAGAAGGGGTGCAGGGGATGGGAATTGGGGATCTTAACATACTGTTGAAAGAAGCATGAGCTAGTCAGTAGAGAAAACAAAGCTGTCTAAGGGAGGTGATAAGCATTCTTCTGCTTGGAAGTATTGAAGCGGAGGTCAAATGTCCATCTGGAGTGATGTTGCACTGAGCAAAAGAGATGGCTAGATGAACTCCAAGTCGCATTCCAATGTTATGATTCTATGAAGATAATCAGAAGTAGCTCCTTATTGAATATGTAAATAATGTTGAATGCTAGTTGCCTTCATTCAACAAGAAAACCAGAGGGGTTAACATATGATAACATTGGGCTGGAAGAATGGGGGGACCCTGATTAATTGTGGTCTAAGAATCCTCAACACCAACTGTTCTGTTGTCCACTGTTATAGATTCTCCGCATCTCCAGGATTCACACTTCGGTTTATCTACTGCAAGGCCTTCTTTCTTGGTTGGGTCTCTCTTTTTGATCCAGCTGGATCAAAACTTTGGACCTTTCCAGATTCAGAGAGTATATATGAGAACCCATAGGCAGAAATGAGCACGTCTCATCCTTACAACTCCCTTTTTTCCACCTCTGAATTTAGCTGTGGGTGGGGCATCTGAGTGCGTTGGCTGGCATATTCTGGTTGTTTTCATCCAATATGCTTCACCTATTTAATTTAGTTTCCTAAATTAATCCATTTTCTGAATTTGTTTGCCATGTTGAATCACAAATTATCAACTGGATTGGAAAGCACAATAAGCCACCAAAATAGACTGACAGAAACCTAAAAAAAAATATGACCAAGATGTCAAGCCTAGCTTAAAATACAGCTGTTATGTATTTATTTAATTTGGTTAAACATTTATTTGGAGAAATCATCTGTGTAGGAATGCAAAAGGAGCAGATGTGGGAGATGAATCTTCAAAGGACATACTCCTTATTACGTACCAGGCAGCATCACACAGGGTTCTGTATGATAGTGTATGATAGTGTAGGTACCTAAAATAAATAAATAACATTTGAAAAACAGCCCCAGATGCTGGTGTTCCTGTCCAATCAGGTGTTTCCTCTTTGAAATACTACTGCGGATGATCCCTTATGTTTATGTTAAGATGCTGGTGGGTGGAGATGATTGCTTCAGTCTCTCACATTATCTCTCCAATCTTAAAATCCTTGTTGATTCGTTGTTCCATTGACGAAGAATATCTGCCCTTTAGGCCAGGTATGCAGTTTTAATGTAGATTCCTCCATTTCCCATGAACCAGGGAACAATCTGTCATGCTATATTACTTTCTGCGTGGCATTGTAAAAAAATGCCACGCATAAAAAAATCTTTCTGCCTCACCATTCATAAATTCCCCTTAATGGCCCTGACACTCCTTGCGCTGCTTTTTGCAACTTTCTGTTTTCCAGCCTTTGTTTGCCACATTTCAGTATCTCCTCTTCCCTCATTTTCCTACACTCTCCACTTCCACATGCAGGGTCTTGATTTCGAATGCCATCTCCTAGCCCTTTTACCCATCAAGCTCTCCTAGGCCCCTCTCACTTGTTTTCCTACCCCTGTTCCAGTGGTGGGATTCAAGTAATTTAACAACCGGTTCTCTGCCCTAATTATTTGTTCTAACAACCAGTTTGCCAAACTGCTCAGAAAGTTAACAACCGGTCCTCCCGAAGTGGTGCGAACTGGCTGAATCTTTCCACTGCCCTGTTCCTTGTTATGTTCTTATCTATAGAGCTCTTTTCAGTTCTCTCCCTCAGATTTCCCCCCTCCTGAAGTCCGCATCACATTTAAGTGGTGCCATCCAATTTCCTCTGCTCTCTTTTCGGTTTCACCTCCTTTAAAGCAGGAGCACCCAAGAATTTGTTCTTTTGATGAGTTGCATATTAGAAGCCTATTTCTAAAAATGGGCCAGATCAGAAGATATCAAAAGGTAATTTTGGTTTAATTTACATTTCATAGAATGAATATGATTCCTTCCCCTGAGGTTATGCCCACATCCAAAGCTTTCAGTAGCCACACTGGTGCAGTTCTGCTATAAAATCATCAGCATGGCAGCCTGTGGCTTCAGAATCAGGTGGAGTCCTCAGTCTAATTTAGTATGTGTGACAAGGAAAGAAAGAAAAGTAGGAGACTAGAAAGAATGCCCTGTATCCTCTGAAAAATATAGGTCATCCATGCATTTGTCTGACTGCAAAATAAAAATCAAGCCTGAGTCGAGTTCTGAATAAATAGCCTCTTCAGAGCTTATCTATTATGACACATCAAGGTTTTGCTGGGGAAAATGGGAAATACCAGCAGGAGGGAGAGGGATATCTCTTGCTGCACCTGATGCTTGCACTTTTCTCTAGGCAAGATTCAAACAATGTGAGCCACCACGGCCCACTCCAGACAGCGCCTGGCCAGGCATACTGTATGGAACACAGGTAAGCCAATGAACTGGGTGGATAAAATTTCTAATATCCTCAATCTATCTGAAAGGTTTAGGGCAGCTTAATACATTACAAGAACTCTGTTGCTCTCTCAAAAATTATCTTTCAAGCAGAATAGAATAGAATAACATGGTTGGAAGGGACCTTGGGGGTATTCTAGTCCAACCCTCTGCTCAGGCAGGAAACCCTATACCATTTCAGACAAATGGATATCCAATATCTTCTTAAAAACTTCCAGTGTTGGAGCATTCACAACTTCTGGAGGCAAGTTGTTCTGTCAGGAAATTTCTCCTTAATTCTAGGTTGCTTCTCTCCTTGATTAATTTCCATCCATTGCTTCTCGTCCTGCTTTCAGATGCTTTGGAAAATAGATTGACTCCCTCTTCTTTGTGGCAACCCGCTGAAATATTGGAATGCTGCTATCCCTAGTCCTTTTCATTAATCAGCATTATGTTCAGCTGGTGTCTGGGTTAGGCTTTTTTGATTATTTGGTGCTTGTTGAGCACAACAGGGTTGGTTGAATCAGTCAACACACTTTGTAAATACTCATTCCCGTGGGTCGGTAAAATAGGAATTCAAGCTACTATATGGTTTGGAGACCATCATTCTTTGCCATTTTTTAACTTTACGAAATACACAGTGATCCATGTGAGGAGCTGGTTCTATCACAGATGGAGACATTTTCCACTCTTCCTATCCTGGTTCCATCTTTGCTTCAAATATCATAGATGGTGACAGTGAAGCAAACTAGAGACACGGTATTCCTGCAGCAACCCTATTTTGATAACCCCCACCTCTAGGAATTTTCCTCCATAGCGGCTACTAGACAAAAGAACTAACATTATTCAGATGACACAGCTGATGGGGGAGAAGTTAGTTTAGCCCAAACAGAACTAAGAACCTAACCATCTCAATTGAATTTAGCAATTTACATAACATGTTGTCTCTTTACCCAATTAAACATGTCCAGTGGGGGGTACTAAATAAGATACTGTGGTTAATAGTTCAACAGGATCCCATCATCTCAAATGGCATGTTGAAAGGGGATGATGGGAATTGTTAGGCTCAAACACCCGAAGAGCACTTTACTTTGGTAAACTTTGTTGAGCATAAGTGTTCCATTTCCTGATCTTGGACTCTTTTCAAAGGAATGTTGGGTCCCCATCGTGTACTGTAAGGGATGATCAGGTGATTAAATGCTGTTCTTTATTTGTCTGCCTGTACAACTGTATGGCTTCTTCTGCATTCCTTCTAGTTCCTTGTACCAGCTGCATGCTGAGACCAGCCAGTCCTTCTCTGCCTCTCAAGCCTTGATATCAGACAGCTCTTCCATTTATCAACGTCCATGGTCTGCCCCATGTCTGCCGTATCCCCCGCAGGGCTTCAAGCAGGAATTCCATGACCCCATGTATGAGCAAGTGAACACACTGGGAGATGTAGGCAGTTCCCAGTATTCAACTGGCGTGGTGATAAAACAGGAGCGGATGGACTATGCTTTTGACACAGGTAGAGTGCAAGAAAGTGGGCATGTAGTGTGCATATATGCGTCTGCATGCGTTTAGGACTAGGGTTAGTTCTTTGGACCAGGTTTATCTTTTTCCTGCTACAGAAACAATCTGAAATTTGCTTGGTCCAGCTATGCTGATCAACAATCAAAGCATTTAGCATTACTTGTAATACTATCCCCCACCCCCCAAAAAAGTGAAAAAGAAGTGGGGAGGCCTCAGTACTTGTCCTGCCAAAGTCTTGGATCCTTGCTGCTATTGAAAGATGCCATTTGTTGATTTCACTTATGGACATACCAAAACTGAGCACATAGAACAAGATTTATATCTGTATGTAACTGTATTTCCCAATGATACACCCAGCCAGAAACTCTGGGATTGTGCATTTAAATCAGTTTCCACCAACCTCAGGCATGCCAAAGGCGGTGGTCTACAATTCTCACCATCCCCATATTCTGGTAGGGGATGAGGACAGTGTATCTGGGAAGTGATCTGGAAGGTACCTTTTTCTTCCATACAGTATTACTATTTTTGTGTATTCCCAATATATTTTACATTATGTTCAGATTCTCTTTCATACACACTTTTATTTATTTATTTATTTATTCAATTTATATACCACTCTTCTCCTATTGGACTCAGGGCGGTGCACAGCCAAGGATAAAAACATACCAATACAAAAATTAAAATCAATTAAAAGAATTATACAGCTTTGGCCCACAATTTAAAACAATCCAATTAAAACCCAATTTACACTTAAAAAGCTAAAAAAGCTAAAAAGAGCTAAAAAAGCTAAAAAGAGCTAAAAAGGGGGGGAGGGGTTCACGCCAGCCCTGCTTGATGGAAAGAAAAGTTTTTAGGGCACGGCGAAAGGCCCGGAGATCTGGTATCCTTCATATCTCCAGGGGCAAATCTTCCAGAGGAGGGCAGGTGCTGCCACAGAGAAGGCCCTCCCCCTGGGGGTCGCCAGCCGACATTGCCTAGCTAATGGCACCCTGAGGAGTCCCTCTCTGTGGGAGCGTACTGGTCGGTGGGAGGCTATTGGCGGCAGAAGGTGGTCTCGCAAATACCCAGGTCCGATGCCATGGAGCGCTTTAAAGTTGGTGACCAACACCTTGAAGCGCACCCGGAAGACCACTGGAAGCCAATGCAGCTCGCGCAGGAGAGGCATCACATGGGAGCGCCCTCTTGCTCCCATAATCCCCTGCGCAGCCGCATTCTGCACAGTTGGAGCCTCCGGGTGCTCCTCAAGGGGAGCCCCATGTAGAGAGCATTGCAGTAGTCCAGGCGGGAAATGATGAGCGCCTGAGTGACTGTGCGTAAGGAGTCCCAATCCAGAAAGGGCTGCAATTGGCGAATCAGGCGGACCTGATGAAAAGCCCCCCAAAATCAAACACTTGATTTTGTTATAAAAGTTTTATACATAAATAAAACAACAAAAATCATGCAGAGGGATGTTTGTTTCTGGTGTTATGTTCCCTTGCCATTGTGGTACAGAGGGTAAACCACTAAGTTTAGACGGGCCTTAATTCTATTGGCTGATCTTGAAACCTCAGTGGGGTTCAATTGGGTTATAGTTAATTTAATTTAATTAATTCAATTTATATGTCACGCCTCTCCAAAGACTCAGGGCGGCTCACAATACATTTTTAAAAAATCACTATTAAAAACATTTAAAAATTAAAAACATTAAAAACTCATTCACGCCATTCATGGCCGGATCTCGCCAGATCACAAGAGCGAGATCAATGGCCCCAGGCCGTTGGTTGGGCGACCACCAGGTGTGTAGCATAACTGACCAGTTCAAACAAACAAACAAAACATTACAATGGGAAATCTCTTCCATAAGGTGGACGAGAAAACTGTATGGAGTTGAGCTTGATTCATGGGCAATTGTCCAACCCAGCTTGCCTGTGGCTTGGCAGGGGGAAAAAGTGCCAACACTTCTCCAGCTCATGAGAAATTCTGTATGTTAAAATGTTTTTAAGTTACTTTTTTTCCCCTTTACCCATTAAACTCCAAGCATGTTCCTTTTTCTTTTCTTTTACTACCACCCTTGCCTATATAAGAGAGATTTTAATGGATTCCCTGACCTTTAAATGTTTGGAGAGAAAGAGGAAAAACTATTCTGTCCCCCAGGGCTGGCAAGGCATTGCATAACCTTGAGTCTCTACCTTCTTGCTGGTTTGGATCCAAAGCCTGTCTCTGTGGCTGGCTGGAATGGAAAGGAATTTCATTCACAAAATGGATGCACAGGAACTGGGTTCCGGATAAGGAGTGTTGGGTTTCACTGCTTGTGCTCTCCTAGTGGTGCAACTGAAATCAGCCGGCAGGCTGGTAACACAAGCCAAAGCTTGGCTCACTGCCCAGAGAAAGTGGGAGTATGTACAGAAAATGACACCTGCAAACCTGGGAGGGAAGCATCCAACTGGCGTTTGAAGTAGGAAAGCCTTTGGCTATCCAGGAGAAATGCACAACCTTCCTAACCTTTTTTACAACTCCACATCTCCCCAGGGACTGCCATTAATGCCTTTCCTCACTTGCTTTTTCTCTTGCTATAAACTTCTTAGAGTGTCAGCGATTAGGAAAAGAATAAGATTGCATTATCTGTGAGAGCTGTCTCTGCAGGATTTAACCCATTATTTTGAGCAATGTCCATTGTTTTACTTTTAAAACTAATAAAATACACTGCTAAAAAAATAAAGGGAACACAAGCAGAAGACATCCGAGATCTGAATGAATGAAATAGCCTTATTAAATACTTCGTTTGTTACATACAGTAGTTTTGTGTTCCCTTTAGTTGTTTGAGCAGTGTATAAACTACTGTATGTAAAGAACAAAGTATTTAATAAGGCTATTTCATTCATTCAGATCTCAGATGTCTTCTGCTTGTATTCCCTTTATTTTTTTGAACAGTATATTTTTTTAAAAAAGGATTTAACCCATTAATAATAATGGTTTATTATTTATTTATTTATTTATTTATTTATTTATTTATTATTAATAAGTGTTTACTTGCTTTCATTTTTTTCTGCTTTGTGTAAATGGGTAGATAAAACTGTTAGGTGGAAAATAAAAGTGCCCAGTGAATCATGGATTTGGTAATTGAAAGGTGTTTTTGTAAGTATGGATAACCCAAGGCCCTCCAGATGTTGATAAACTACAATTCCCAGCATCCCTTATAGCAGGCTAGTTTAGGTGGAGTTTCTGAGAGCAATGGTTCAGCGGCAATTGAAAGATCAGAAGATCTCCAGACCTTATAAGAAAGCCATGGCGTATTTCTCTCATACACTGTAATTTATTTTAATCCATTTTTATATTCCACTTTTTCCTTAAAAAACTCCTCTCCACTTAAACTAATAATATTCATTCATTCAAATCAGACAAATGTCAAACAAATTCTGCAAAATAAAAGGCTAGAGCAAAAAAAAAAAGTGTCTCCTGAAGGAAAAACATAGTAAAATTGGTCTTAAATATTTTAATGAGTATAAAAATGTTGATGGAAGTGAGTTCCAACAAGAACATCCCCCAAATTAATTCATTTTGGGTTTAATTCATGTCCCATTTGTTTCCCAAAAATGGTATCCAATAATGGCATTGGCACCTTCAATAGCTATACATCTGAAACAAGGCCAGCAAATCATATTTATTCCATGCTACTTTTTTTGTTTGAGTTACAGATGTGGCAAGTTGCCATTCAATGTATATGAATGCAGAAGGATTACCAAGTTGTTCCAGTTCTGAAGGCATATTAGGTGAGAAAAATAATCTTGGGGTTCCTGGTAAATTTGATACAATTTTCTCTCTAAGGTGGTGATAATAATAATCAACAACAGCACCAGCCTATTCCAGGTCCTAAGGAAGGATCTGATAAGTGGATAAAATGCCAAATCCAGTATAAACATCTGACTGACCATGTGACCAATTATAATTTGCTGTGGATCTACTCTGGGAATAGATTTGGATGCCTGACTGGACAATGGGCACAAGTTCCAGCTTGTATTATTTTCTAGAAAAAAGTCCAGTATTTTTTACAGCAAAAATGCTCTGAACTTGTAAGATTCTTGTAAGATTCTTAGCAGATACTGCTTTGATTATTTGCATAGAAAAATCTGTAGAGTGCAGGAAGAAGCGATTTTATAGGCTTAAGCCTTCCTTTTATCCCACAACAAACAAGTAGAAGGTACAGCAGAGGCAAGTCAGTCTAAAAGAGTTCCACCCTGAAGGGTTCATAAAAGGGCTTGAATTTGCATCTGATTCTAAGACTCAGTCCTAGGATGCAAAACAAGCACCTAAACAATCAGTTACAAGAATACATGAACCACATTATTCTTAGCATTGGGTTTCCTTCAGACTTTATCTAAGAAGGTGTAAATATTCACACAAGAGGGTTGCATCAATTATATTCAAGTGTATTCAGGGCCAATGCTGACTTGTAGGTAGACATTCATTTTGAAGAGATTCTGACTTATCAACTTTTTGACTTATTGCTAGTTAGAATGAACAATATCAAAATGGACTTGGGATATGTGTTATAAGAGGCAAATTCATACTTTTAGGAAAGAGACAATTCTCCCCAGTCTGGTTTCAGCCATAGTATCTATAAAGCATCACCTCCGCACCCACAACTAAACAATGAAAATAAAAAAGCACACCTACTGAATATACAGCTATCTTAACTTCTTGGAGAATAATTAGTAGAATTAACACCATTAACAGTGGAAGGTTTTATAATGATAAGAAAGTCTCACTTGGTTAAGTCTGGCTAATTGAAAGCCTAAGGAGCAGCAGTTATTGTGTGATCAATCCTATCAGTCCTGGGAAGAATTTTGGTAGTTAATCTCTAAATGTCAATGACTTACATATATCTAGAAGAAATGCAAATCAGATTCTTGATAGTTACCTGTTGTTCTTTGGGTGTCTTTTTTTTTTTTTTGCAGGCTATGGTTATGAGAGGCAAATGCGACCATTTGCAGAAGATGTTTGTGTTGTTCCTGAGAGGTTTGAAGGTCAGAGACAATAGCATTTGGCTTTAGTTCCCTTAATAGCCAAGCTACCCAATCTTCCAATTAAACATTTGAACTAAGAATACATCTTTCATAAATGTAGTATTTCCTTAAGCCACTGGTTCTCAACCTGTGCTTCACAGACCCCTAGGGGTCAGCAATGTCATTGCAGGGGATCTGCGAAGGCTTGAAGAAATGTTATGATTTAAATTTTGTCTTGGGCGTCTGTGGTCATGGTCTGTGACCACAAAAGATATTTAAAGGGGGTCCATGGTGAAAAAAATGTTGAGAACCAATGGTCTAAGCATTACTCCTTCAGTTATAGTAGACACCCCCCCACCCCCAATTTTGCAAAGTTTACACAGGCTGGAGGTCAGCTTACATCATGCTTTATATATTTGGTTGGTATCAACCAAATTAGAGAAATTATCCTTTAAATCTGAACTTGAACAAAATATCCATGTATTAGTCCTAGGGAATATGTAGTCTTATGTTATAGGTAGATATTTGGATTATTTTCTCCCATTCCATAGAATGAGTATCCAAGATGGAATCCACTTTTTCATGCTATTTGTGAAGCATAAAAACTTAGGTTTGTAAATATCAACTTTACAATCTATGTGTCAGGGTTCCAAGTAACACCCCCAACGAAATCAAAACTCCATTTTCCTCAAAGCTTGAATTTTATTAGAGATGTCATATTGGCACATCTGGGAAAACCCGAATCTGAAGCCCTCGGGTTTTCTCCACCCAAAGTAAAGTCAAAAGTTCCTTCCCCTGCATCCACATGGGTGTCATATGGTCCAATCAGGTCACTGTCCCAACTGTAGTTGACTCCCAGTCATGCCTCCCCAGGTGCAGGCTGAACATCCTTGCCTCCCAGGGGAAAAATGTTACGGTTATACACCCCACACTGTCTCCACCACCACCCTTCCCATTTCCACAGCTTGCTCATCCACCGCTGTGGCGATTCCAAGTTAAAATGATTCCAGGGCTAACACTACGTTTGTTTTTGTATCTTTGAAAATTTGGGGGTTCACTTGCTGATATTTCCCTCTTGCTTCTCACTGCCTCTATATCACGGATGCGAAACTCACCACGTCATGTTGCTGTCATGTGACATTTTACAACGTTTTCCTCATTCATGGAGCTGGGGTGGGCATGGCCTGTGCATGACGCATCCAGCCCTCAGGCTGCCAGTTTGCTCTATATCTTTATCAACATGCCTATTAATAATTCCATTTAAGTTTCCTCACAGATGGTGTGATAATAAAGGAGAAATACTTTGAAATATAACAGCCTCCCCAAATTAATTGGGATTGTAATTTCCAGATTTCCAACCATTCACTGGCCAGATTTGTTAGGAAATCTGGGAACTGTCATCTCAGTCATCCTGGAGAGCAAAAGGCTGGTAGATACAATAGATTCCCTTTGTTTTTTTGCCTGTAGGGGAAGCAAAATGTAGAAGTTTGATTTCAGGATATGGCATTGGTCCTCCCTGTGAATTTTCTGCAGAAAATGCAGGGTTTTTTTAAAATCAGTTTCTTTCTTCCCTTTTGTTGTACTTGTATATGTTGCCCTTAATAGGGGATATTAAGCAAGAAGGATATCGTGAGGGCCCACCTTATCAACGGCGTGGGTCTCTGCAGCTTTGGCAGTTCCTGGTAGCTTTGCTGGATGATCCAAACAATTCCCATTTTATTGCCTGGACAGGTCGAGGAATGGAATTCAAACTCATTGAACCAGAAGAGGTCAGATTTTTTGTTACTTTTTTTTAAAAAAAACCGAAAACCATCTTATATTATACTTCACTGATTGTGGATTACAGGACCTAGTTAAAACCATATCTGACCTTGGAATATTGAGCATGGCAGGAACTGTCCTCCTAAAATTGTCAAACTATACTGTGATGGAAAAAGAGTACAGTTTTATTTTCTGATTGCAATATCAGGTCAACGGACACATATGGGCATAGGCTCCGAAAAAGTTGCACATATCTAACTTTCTAATTGAACAAACCAACTTTGGAGCCTCGCAAAAATGCAGTTGTTGGAAAGAGGAGGGTGTTATGAACTGAAAAGTAGATTTGTTTACTTAACTCCTTAATGCAAATGTTCTTCGCAAGCTTATATACAAACATGAAGCCAGTTGTGTTATGTTTTTTCAAGTTGCTACTTCAGTTGCAACTCAAACCTATACATGAGTTCAAAGTACATAGCCAAAAAAATCATTATATTGGAGAAGTTTACTTACAAAAACTGCTAATCCCAAAGTTTTTTTTCCCCCTAAAAAGCAACTGGATTTATTTTGAAAACATTTTGCTTCTAGAAACTTCTTGGATGAGAAGTGAAATGTTTTCAAAGAAAATACCAAAAAAATCCATCTGCCTTTTGAAAAAAAAAACACCTTTGGGACAACCATGACCTGGATTATTGAGAATCTCCATAGACAAAAGTGCTAATATTGGGGAAAGTATATAGATGTACTGGAAGTAATGTGCACAGAATTGTCTATCAATTGTCATTTGGATTTTTAAGAGAAATTGCCCGAATGTGAATAGAAAGTTTTGGTTTGTCTCTCTAAGACTTGGTCCCAGTTTCTTTGCATGTAAATGTGATCTCACTCTCAATTGGCCCTGCAGGTGGCACGACTTTGGGGCATTCAGAAGAATCGTCCAGCTATGAATTATGACAAGTTGAGTCGCTCCCTTCGTTACTATTATGAAAAAGGCATTATGCAAAAGGTTGGTCTGGAGTTTGAATGCTTGGCACATGCCATTTAAATTTGGGAAGGTGGGCACTCATCTGTCAATAAACTGCCAGAATTGTTCATTGTTCAATTGTTAATCTTTCATTAACAATTTCTAGTTGGGGCATTTTGAACACAGATGATCTTAGTTTAAATATCTATTCATTGTTTTTATTCAATTCTTTGGATAGGGCTACATATTTTGTGCCAAGAGAATAACATTGGTTATCAGATTAAAAATACAAGAGAAAGTGGGAATGGCACATTTTACAATCTAAATTGGCATAAATTTGAAGGGAAGGGCCACCAACAATGCAAAATTCTAACACTTTAGTAATAATCAGATTAGGACTAGGTCTTGGTTTGTAGGGAGGTCAAGAGATCTGTCTCAAGCAGCACCATGAACTCGGGCTCAATCTAAACAGAATAATTGTCTCAAGGGTATAGGAAGATGTATTGAAGCATTTTCCTTTTTTATATTGGAGTGTTTGTTTTAATAATCTTGTTGAGCACTTGATGCTCTTGGATTTTATTCCATTAAAAAAAATCTTTTTCATGAGGGTTATAAATCTACCTTTAAAAAAACTCTGGTTGAGCATCTTCCCATCTTGATTGTTTTTTTAATTATTACAAATGCTGACAGCAAAGTTATGATCTGCATATTATATTACATTTTGAGTGTGTGTGTGCACACACACTTTCAAATCAATATTGATTCTTAGAACAACCTGTATAAATTGCTACAGTTTTCCTGGTGAGATTTCAGAACTGGTTTGCCATTGCTTTCTTCCTAGGGCTGGGAAACTGTGATTGGACTGAGGTAATCCTGTTGGCTTTATGCCTAGTATGTTGAAACCTCCAATTCATGCATATTTTGATTTTGATTGAATTGACTATAATTTGATTTATATGCTGCCCTTCTCCGGAGACTCAGGGCGGCTTACAATGGGTTAAGCAATAGCCTTCATACTTTTGTATATTTATACAAAGTCAGCTTATTGCCCCCAAAATCTGGGTCCTCATTTTACCTACCTTAGAAAGGATGGAAGGCTGAGTCAACCTTGAGCCTGGTAAGATTTGAACTTGCAGTAATTGCAGGCAGCTGATATTAATAACAGTGCTTTAGTTTGCTGCACCACCAGGACTCATATATATTCACAGTCTTTATACAGTATGTTATTTTATGAACATAAATAGTTTATGTGCTTTTCTTCTGTTTTAATCAAGAATTTCAGAATTGGGATTTTTTTTTTTTTATTGGAATTGCTTACAGGTCATGTAAAATGCAGACATTAAGTTAAAGTAAAAAACACATATTTTAAATGTGCACTTCCAGTATTTCTTCCCAGGACTTTATGCCACTTTTTTGGAAAACACCTGGTTTGCTATGAAGCCAAATTAAGCTTCTGGGAAATAGCAGAATAGAGGTCGAACAAAGAAGCAACATAAGATACTTGTCACTTCTGGGGACATCTGTGTGCGAGGGGGGTTGGGGGGGGGGAAGGGTTTGCCAAGAACAGAACAGCTGCTGTAGTGCTTGTGTTTTTCTCCCTTCTGTGACATAGGTGGCTGGTGAGCGTTACGTGTACAAGTTTGTCTGTGAGCCTGAAGTGCTGTTCTCCCTTGCTTTTCCTGACAATCAGCGTCCATCTCTGAAAGCTGAATTGGAGTGGCATATCAGCGAAGAAGACACAGTCCCTTTGTCACACTTGGATGAAAATGCTGCTTACCTTCCAGATCTGGGAGGTGCCCAGCTTTATGGGAAAAGCTGCACATACTAGCCAACAGTAGAATGGACAAATCACGTCTGGGAGAGTTGTGTGTGTGTGTATCTGTATATATTTATACATAAATATATATATATATATATATATATAAAAGATATTTCTCAAGGTTTGAGAGTTCAATCCTAGATAGCGGCAGATACCATATTTTTCGGAGTATAAGGTGCACTTTTCCCCCCTAAAATAGGGTGGAAATGTTGGTGCGTCTTATACATCGAATACAGCCATTTTTGGCCTCCTGAAGTCCCGCCCCGCTCATCCCATTTTTGTGAAAAATGGGCCCATTTTTTTGCAAAAACGGGATGCGCAGAAGGTTTGGGAGGCCTGCAGAGTGTTCCTGGGGGCTGGGGAGGGCAAAAACGTGCCAGTTTTTCGCAAAAACTGTGTTTTTGCCCTCCCCCAACCCCCATTTGCAGGCCTCCCAAACCCTCTGCGCACCCCATTTTCCAAAAAAAATGGCAAAAAATCAGGTACAGAGAGGGTTTGGGAGGTCTGCAGAGTGCTCCTGGGGGCCGGGGAGGGAAAAAACTTTTTTTTTCTTACTTACCTCTTCAAAATCTTGGTGCGTCTTATACACCGGTACGTCTTATAGTCCAAAAAATACGTTATTTCTCTCCTAGGGTGTAAAGAAAAAATATCTGCTGTGAACTCTGCATGGCATCAAGAAGGGCATCCGGCCAGTAAATGCTCAGCTCCATCCAGTTGCCCTGACTCTATCCCGAATTAAGGGATTACAGGGTCGATAAAAGGGAGATTTTCCCTCTTAGTACATAGAATGGGGCCTTGAAAGAAAAGCAGCGGGGTCTGCCACTTTGAGAGCAAAGTTGGGATTTGGGTTCAAATCCTGCCTTAGTCATAGACTCCTTGAATGAATGTGAGGCAATTCTCAAGGAGGGGCAACCTACCTCACAGGGATGTTGTGAGGACAAATAAGATAAAGATTGTAAAATGCTTTGTATATTTGTCTTTTTATTTTAGGGGATATCTTAGTTCAACAAACTAAATTCCCTAAACAAGGGAAAGACAAGGTCTCTCTGGTTTTAAATGGAGTTTTTCCTTGCTTGGGGCAGATGGAATATGTATACTCCAAACTCAAAATAATTTCTTGGCAGCTGGATGATGGATTGTAGACTCCTTTGCAGAGGATAAATGATAATATGCAACAGAGACAGTAAGCTTACCCATCATGATGCCAAATGCTCAAGAAAGAAGAGTTGGCAAAGAATTACACTTTTAATGTCCTGCAAGAATCATAAAACAATTGCTGCAGCTTAACCTATTCCTAGGCCCTAGGTACTATGCCTTATTGTGCCTAATGATTAGTTCATGCAGAGTATCCACTGAGACAGGAAGTATGTAAGCCTTACATGCAACTAGGTTTTCTTGAGCCCTCCCTGCAAATTTATTTTCTTGAATTTGCTTTGCATTTCAATTCTGGCACGTCCATCTTTGTCTGATGGCTTCCAACACATGTTAATATTGATGCCTTTTGCTCAACTGATGCTTGGTGTCATGTGCTAAGCTTTATTTAACCATGATTTGCATAAACTGTAAGTGGAGAATGAGTTACTAATCACAGTGATGGGGGTCATAAGAAATGCAAATTCAAAACTAAACAAACTATCTCATGACAACGTAGAATGAATAAATTTGATCATTAATGTTGGGAAAATGATGCCTTTTTACGATTGTGAAATTTAGAAAGATCATGTGCAAAACTACTGTTGATGTGCATGTAATCAAGAGCACCTGCTGCCTGCTTCAATACTTGTGTCACCCAAGAATGAGCATTGAACTGGGCAGACTTGGAAGAAGTCCCATTGGAATCTCTTATGCCTGAATAATTCTACAAGGATATAAATTCCAGTCTCTATCAAGAAAGTAGAGCTTGCTCTCTCTCTCTCTCAGAAGTATCCATATGGTCAGCAGCTTGTCCCTTATCCTTCCTGGAAATGAATTTTAAGTGAAAAGTTGTTGTAGGCTCTCTGAACATTTCCAAGATTTTTGTCCTGAAAAGCCACCTTCAGTCAAATTTCGTTTTGTAAGAATTCAAGATGATGCCCTCAGCTTTTAGTATGCCCCATTTACTATAGATTATTATATATTTTTTTGTGCATGCAGCTGAATATTCAGATCTGATTTTTTTTTTAGAATGATTTCTGTCCATGATATTGGGTTTATGTATGTTTAGGCCTAAAAACCAAGGTTATGAATTGTTTTGGTGTGTGAAAGTCAAAAAGTGCTTCCATGAGGTTTTTAAATTACTTGATGGCCCTGATGGTACATGAAGTGACTCTAGCTTTTAATTTTCCTTTATTTCTGTGTCATCTATGAACTAGAGCTAAAGCTCAATTTAATTATTTCAAATTTCCAGCAGATAGAGTCAATATATTTGAAGAAGACTTTATATTCTATATTATTTCCTCTCTAATTATGTACACTAATATTCTTATGTGAACCCGAGACAGGGAAAACCACAGGAAGACAGGATATTCCTGGATATAAATCATTTTTCCATCTAAGTGTCAGCTTGACTTCAGAATAAAGATGGCCTGGACCAATCTGCCTTGTTTCACAAAATTCCAGGAAGTGTGGAAGATGTGGAAGTGTGGTGGTGGTGGTGGAGTTATTTAGTTACTGTAAAAAGGTGGCAGTGAGATTGATTTTTCAAAACTATCAGCCCCACATTTCCATGTGGACTTCTCTCCAGCCCATCCTATGCCCTGCAAAGATCTGAAAGCCCTAGAATTTAGGACTATATTAGTATCTATATTGTTTCTGCAGTTGTGATTCAAGACATACATTTTTAATTGGAGGGGAACATCTTTTTGGCCCAGGGAGCCTAAGACCTATATCTGTTACTTCTCTCTCATAGCTAACAGGAATTTAGACTTGTTTTATAGCACTTATTGTGAGCAACAGGATATAGAATGTATACAGAGTTAATATTTGATTTTTTTTGTCTTGCTGGAACTCAGAACAATTTATTTGCATTGGCCAAGAAGTTACTAATTAGTGCATTGAAGCAAACAGAAACATATTTCATTTCAGCAGACTGCTAACTATAAATATAGCTGCAGTATCAAGTTGCCATCACATAAAAACAAGATGTTGATACTAAATTGTCTTATATAGCAAAAAAAAAAAAGAGGCTTAGGAGGCAATTAAACATTTTTAGCCAACAATATAATCATTTACAGAATTTTCTCATTTATGTGCTTTAGCCATGTTTAAAAATTCCTTTGCATTATTTATGTGGACCATTTATTTGGGTTATTTTTTCAGAGATTTCTGAAATATCTTTTTCACCCTTTCCTCATCAGGAAGGCTATTATTTGCAACAGCTCCAAGTCTAGCTAAAGTCTTCCATTTGTATGGTTTGTATCTGGGCTTTAGAGATCTCCTGAATTAGATGGAATGTGGAGAGGGATGTAAAATAAAGGATCTGTTATGAAAACAGCATATCTTGCCAAAGAAAGTTACAAGCAATACAAGTTTGGACTGTAGAAAGCCTTAGAAATTTCCCTCATAGAATGAAATGAGGCAGGCATTATCTGTGCTAGCAATGGATGGGCCATCAATCTACCAGTTCATATTTCCCTAGCAACAACAGTGCCCACATTTTGACCAATAGTGCCAACAATTTTTGGAATGTATTTTAATTATGTTTGCCAATGAAACTGTAATTGTTAATGGAGTCGTGATATTTCTGATTATAACCTTTTAAAATCCACTGCCGTAGAAGAAATCCTTTGGAAATTTTAATAACAAGTGCCCTCTTCTGCAGAATAAAGATTTTAAAGATATTTCTGTCTTGCATGTTAATTGGTGTGCACAGCAAGTTCAATGAACCCAGAGTTTCCTGGGATAATAAATTTAGTAGATTTACAACCTTCTCTCTAACTTTTTTTTAAAAGATTCATATGACTGTGTTTTGAAATCCTGAGGACAGAGTTGATTGCCTCCCTGGAGTTTCTCAGATCTTGAACAGATGTTCTGAAAATTCCTAGAACTTTTAAGATGGTTTTTCCTCCTCTGGTTTACAGCAAAAAGTAGTCTAAATCACTACAGGACCTTGAAAGCATATGTGGTGGACATTGATCCTTAGCTACATGACTTTTCTTTGGCTTTTGTGAGATATATCAATATAAATGCAGATGCCTTGCTTGGAAGCATTTTGAATTCCTTATCTGTTTATTGGAAGAAGATAGAAATACAGAGTCTTTGGAAATCTTATAATTTATTTTGAATAGTTCCATCAGATAATTTAATCTGGGGCGGTATCAGGAAATGGCAAACATTTTTTCCAACGAATAAGTAATTTACAGAATTGATCTGGAATGTATAGAATATTAATTATTACATGATTTTGCATTTTACTTTCTGTGGGTGGCCTTAATTTTCATTTACTGCTTATGCGTTTATTAACCCAAATGGGTACCATATGGAATATTTTGTGATATTTATTCCCATCTGATGCTATGGAATGGCTTTAACTTTATTGTTTAAAAACTTAGAATTTGGCATTATGGATTGCTTTCCCATAAAAAAAATTTCAGAGAAGATTGATTTCTTACGAGTGACAGAGGTTCTTTTAACAATATTTTGTACACGTATTAGTGTATGGATGTGGGTAGCAAAGAACTCAATTTGAGGGATTTTTAAATATGACTTAAATTGATTATAAAAATATCAACCCATTTTTTTTTATATTTTTGAAAGTTTAACTTGCTTTTCTTTTGCTGTTCAGCATTTTAAAATCATTGAAGCATCTTTATAGCAAATAAATACAATTGATAACTCAAATTAAAGAAAGGAAAAGAGAATGAAATCTAACCCTTCCCTTGAAATGTGGCAGATTATGATTCTTCCAAATCCTGTCAATGCAGACAATTTACTTGCTGATTGGAAAACAGGGAAATTGTACTCCAGCATTCCTGGAAGATTGCAAAATGGAAAGGCTGTGAAATCAATATAATAATTGGCTCTTGGAATTAAAATGGACAGTTTGGTGCCCATTTTGTGATGAATAGTTTTTTTTTTAATACCAATGGTTCTCAAAGTGTGGTCTGCGAACTCCTGGGAGTTCAGAGCGCCTTTCATGGGGTCAATGAAGACAAATATTTTGAAATGTCTATGTTTTAATTCATAAATTATCAATAGATATAACCCACCTAAACAAAGCTCTTTGGGATCCTGATTTTTAAGATTATAAAAGGGTTCTGGGACTAAAATGCTTGAGAACCTCTGCTCTATGCAACCCTCATATTCTGTTAGCACTGTTGATATCTACTTAGGCAACAGAGCAGAATATTCAATGTAAGACATAAAGGAAATAAATTCTAACTCAAAGATATCGAAATGTTAAATGTTCCTGCAAGTAAAACTCATTATGCTTAATGCTTGTTTTTATGTTAACTGAAAATCACCATTTTTTGATATAAATTAGCTCAAGTTGAGCAAGTACACATATTCACCAATACAAAAAGCATTGTTTTGGGAAGTGTGTTTCATGGTTCTCCCTTATGATCTGTTTTTGTTTTAAATCTGAAGAAAAATCCATGTCTTAATTACAGCTCTATTAGGATGTTCGCCCACAATTTGAAGTTATCCATCCCTCCTGTTCTCTTCTCCCTCCCCATCAATTATTTTTATAAATGTCTCAAGGTGGTGAACATACATAATGCTCCTTTCTCCTCCTATTTTCCTTACAACAACAACCCTGTGAGGTGAGTTGGACTGAGAGAGAGTAACCGATCCAGGACTATAACTCTAGCCTGGAAACTGGACGCATTTTCAAACTCCCACTTCGTGCATAAGTCTCCTATATCGTAGTTTTATGAAACTACTGTCATAATCCCTGCTTCGCATTCATTCCCTCTGTCTAACCCGTTTTCACATCCTCTGTTTTCACTGTTTCCTCAAATATCAGATTACGAGTTTCTCGAGGCAGAGCCCCAGAATTTTGTAGTGTCTTACACACTACAGCAAATCGCACGATGTTGGTGAGATGAGAACGATGCTGATGGTGACATAGAAACTCTTTAACCGGTATAAAATAAAATGGGGCAGCTTCCCTAGCACGGTGTTGGATTTCTGCTTTAAATTGCCTAGAAGCAGCAGATTAAATAATACAGGAGGAGCGGCAATCACAACATCCGAGCAAACGACTTTTAATGTTTATAGCAAGAAGAACGGAACCTTTGGAGTATGGCATCAGTTTCTGTAGGGAACGTTTTGTAGAGGGACTTTAGAGCGATGCTCTAACGGACCAAGGAGGACCTTCAGGTAGGAAGGGATATGCCAGTAATTCCGCCCTGTCGCAAGATGGCGGCGGTTAGCGGGAGGCGGCGCGGTGTGCTGCGGCTGCTAATGCGGATCGGGTCGGTGCTGCTCACTCGCTTCCCGTTCTGGCACTGTCTCAGCGGCCTTCTCCTCAATGCAGAGCGCGCCGAGGTTCGCCGGTGAGTTAAGATCTTCTTGAAAGTTACTTTGCCTCTGAGCGTGTGCAGAGAGTAATCGATGCCAGCAGCCTCCGTCCATTTAGAATCCAGAGACAAAACTCTTTTAAGGTCGGAGAAGTCGGGAGCCCCGCATAATCTCCATCGTGGGAGTCTGGGCACTGAAAGGAAAAGGTTGCTCAGGTGGGCGGAGGAGGCGTGCGTGAGAATGAATGGAGTGGGAGGGTGGCTTGGGCTTTCGCACTGCGAAAGGGGGCGGGGGGGAGGACCTCTTGGAGGGGGAGGTGGGGGGGGATGGGGGGGGGGGGGGGGGGGGGTAGTGACAGAATGGGCATCGTTAAATAACAGCTGAGATAAAAGGGGATCAGGAGGGTTTTTAAAAAAAAAATTTTTTTGATTTATATGCCGCCTTTCTCCGGAGACTCAGGGCGGCTTACAATGCGTTAAGCATTGCCAGAAAGGGTGGCGGGATCTCAGGATGGGCATCACAAGAGTCTTGGTGGTGCAGCGGACTAAAGTACTGTTAAGTAGCACTTAGCTGCCAGCTGCCTGCAATTACTGCAAGTGCAAATCTCACCAGTCTCAAGGTTGACTCAGCCTTCCATCCTTCCGAGGTAGGTAAAATGAGGACCCGGATTGTGGCGGCAATAAGCTGACTTTGTATAAAAAAGAACACCGCTTGGATGGGGGCGAAAGCGCTACTAAGCAAAAGTATACAAAAGTATGAAAGCTATTGCTTAACACATTGTAAGCCGGCCTGAGTCTCCGGAGAAGGGTGGCATATAAATTGAACCAATAAATAAATATACAAAAGTATGAAGGCTATTGCTTAACGCATTGTAAGCCGCCCTGCGTCTCCGGAGAAGGGCGGCATATAAATCGAACCATTAAATAAATAAATAAATAAATTGGTGGATCAAGCAGGGAAAATGATTGGATCTGAGGGCTGGGGAGGAAAATGAAGGCAATTACAAGTTTAGAATAGTTATTTCTTAGACGGTTTTTCCTCTCAGGACTCTCCTGCCTTTCTGGGATGACCCTAAAAGAACTTTTTTTTGTTATATTTATCAATATTTGCAGTATTAACAATTAATCTTGATGGGTTTGCTGGGCTGCTTCTCACAATTGTTTGATGGGATTTTAATATTGTATTACTTTCAATATAAGCTATCAAATAATTTTGATTTCGCAGGCTCCTGAGAAAATCTTGTGGGACTTTCAAGAATCCTCAGAGCACACTTTAAAGAAAACCGATTTAGAACAACCTTATCCAGCTGGTTTCCTCAAAAATTTGTTGAGAGCACCAGAGGTGGGTTTCAGCAGGTTCTGACCAGTTTTGGAGAACCAGTAGTAGAAATTTTGAGTAGTTTGGAGAACCGGTAAATAACCACCTCTGACTGGCCTCGCCCCCATCTATTCTCTGCCTCCCGAGTCCCAGCTGATTGGGAGGAAATGGAGATTTTGCAATAATCTTCCCCTAGAGTGGAGAGGGAATGGAGATTTTACAGTATCCTTCTCCTGCCACGCTCACCAAGCTACATCCACAGAACCGGTAGCAAAAAATTTTGAAACCCACCACTGGAAAGCACTTGAGTTTAAGTTTCATTCTGTTAGGTCAATGGAGAGCCTGTTGTTTTGGAAGTGAGGCTGGAGATAGCCATAGATCAGGCAGCAACTGGGTAAAATTGTTTGGATTAGTTGCCATGAGGGAATTCTGTTGCAGGTCTTTCTTCTTGAGTAATATGTAAGATGTGACCAAGTGTCAGAACCCTCTCAGTGACAGCTACTATTTTATAGAATATCTTTCTTATGAACCTGTGCGTGGCTTTCACTTTCTTTGCATTTTGTAACCAAGTTGCATGAACACATTCTATAGTTATATGAGTTTTACTATATATCCATGATGTTGTATAAATAGTTATTGATATTATTGTAACCATTTGTATTTAGTTTTATTATCTTTTGACTTCATTGTACCTGATCTAGCCCATTAGGAATGGGGCATGATGATGGTGGTGTGATAATGATGATGACAGCGATGACGTCGAAGGTGATATAGAAAGCAAAGATAATACCAATAGTAAGAGGGACTTTGAGTGCAATCCCAAAATAACGAGCACAATCTGAACATCATTCGTATTGACAAATTCACAATCAGTCAACTGCATAGGCAGCATTACTTGGAACAGCATATATCTTGTGAAAGTACCTATAACACAACACCAAATAACAGGTCCTACCCTAGTTCCTTGGGAACAACTCAATATGTGGACCAAAATGCCATATCTAGTCTACACATCTGGCTGACTGTTTGACCAAACATAATAATATAAATGGACCTTTAGTGGCTCTCCAGATCATGATGGCTCTTAACTGTCATCTGAAGGCTACTTTGCTCTCTCAGATTTATAGTAAATTTTCCATCAACTTTTTTGGGGAGTGGGTGGGTAAACTGCTGTTTTGAATAGATTACTAATGCCTTGCTCATTGTAATTTTCTGTCTTTCATGGTAGCCTTGCAGATTGACTCACAAAGGCTGGTTATCTGTAACTCAGCTGCCTAGGACTTGTGGGAATAGATAAAATGCAAAGCAGTAAAAACAAAAATAAATGTAAACTCTTCTTATAAGTTGTGATACCTGCTAGTCAGAAGGGAAAAATAACACTTTGTTTCTTGTACTTCCAAAGTTCTTTATGTCAGGTTGCTTAGAGATGATTCCTGGTTGCCACAGGTGATCACACCTGCACTTGTTTACATGCCTATATGAGGCATGCTTGAACAGTCATGTAGCTCTTCAAATATACTACTAAACATATGTATCTCTTATCAATATTTCATTGAGGAATATAATATAAAATTGATAAGAAAGCAAAGAATGATAGAATGTTGATAAAAGGATATCAAAGAAAAGTTATGTAAAAGAAAAGTGAGGAATGTGGCTCAGAAATGTTCATGGATAGAGCATTATTTTCTCTCTTCTTAAAGCCTGTATCAAAGGCTTCATGGTAGTAGTTTTTAATGATGAATTTCTTAACCTTTGTAACTGCTTGTACTCCTCAACGTTTAATGCTGAATTCCTAGTACTGTAATTTCAAACGTATTTAGGGTTTAGTGCCTATTGGTTAGGGGTTTCTTTTTAACTTTTAAGAAAAAATACAGAAATGTTGTCAATTCCAAGTAGGGCTGTATTCTTTGGAAATTAAGGCCAAGTTCTGCACATTCATTTGTTTCAGTTTTCATGGAGTAATTTTCTACTCTTATTTCCTTATACAGGAAACCAGACATCCCTGTCCCATTTCTCTACTTTGACATGGGTGCAGCAGTTTTGTGTGCAAGCTTTATGTCCTTTGGTGTGAAACGTCGATGGTTTGCTTTGGGGGCTGCTCTCCAGTTGGCTATCAGCACCTACGCAGCATATGTTGGAGGTTATGCACATTATGCAGACTGGCTGAAGGTGAAAAAATTATCTCCTCCATTTTTGGCATTCGAAGTCTGGTCATAATCTGCTTTATCGCAGAATTAACTTGGGCTCAAGTTAATTCTTGGATGGAGTGTTGGATTGGCATTTTTCCTTTGATTAGATTCTGTTTCACGTGTAACATCTTTCAGTGTTAGCAAAAGAGGATCTTCTAAAATGGGGGTCACCAACCTTTCGGACCTCAGGGACCACTAAATTCATAATTTTAAATCCCGTGGACCACTAATACAAATCCAGCGCCTGCCCTGGACTCACAGTGACGGGATGGGATCCTTCAGGCACTTAGTTTGGCCACCTGTTTCTGCAACCTTAAACACTCAAAGAGACATTTGGACCTGTTTACCACAGAAAACACCGGGATCTCTCATCTCTCTCTCCCCCCCCCCTTTGTCTGTCTGTCTGTCTGTCTCATCTCTCTCTCATTTCTTTCTCCCCACTCTCTCATCTCTCTTTCTCTCCCTCATCTCTCCCCCCTCTTTGTCTCTCTCTCTCTGTCTCATCTCTTTCTCTCATCTCTCTCCCCCCCTCTTTCTTTGTCTCTCTTTCATCTCTCTCCCTCTCTTTGTCTCTTTCTCCTCTCTCTTTCTCTCTCTCGCCTCTCCCCCCTCTTTGTCTGTCTGTCTGTCTCCCCCCTCTCATCTCTCTCTCCCCCCTCTCATCTCTCTTTCTCTCTCTCCTCTCTCCCCCTCTCTCATCTCTCTTTCTCTCTCTCATCTCTCCCTCCCTTTGTCTTTCTCTGTCTCTCTCATCTTCTTTCTTTCTTTCTTTCTTTCTTTCTTTCTTTCTTTCTTTCTTTCTTTCTTTCTTTCTCTCTCTCTCTCTCTCTCTCTCTCTCTCTCTCTCTCTCTCTCTCTTTCTCTCTTGCTCTTGCTCTCAATTCACTCTCTCTCTCTCTCTCATCTCTCTCACTCTGATTCTCTGGCGCTCTTTGGGTCTTGTGGGCACTTCTTTGGCCTTTGTTGGTACTAGACGCACCTTGGTCACTCGGGGAGATGCATGACCTGTTCTCCACCCCGAGACACTCACTCAACCCGGCTGCAGCCAATCTCCTTGTCATAATGGGCTCCAGGAGGAGAAGGGGACACCGTTTCCCCCATTGTGAAGAACGCTAAATTTAACTGTGCTGCAAGAGCAATGGGCAGGCCATGGAGGCACCAACAGCAGCAGTGGAGAGAAATGGCTGGGCTGGGCCAGTGTCTTGGGGCTGAAATGAAGTCGTGCATCTCCCCGAGAGACCAAGGTGTGTGGCACACCAACAAGGCCCAGAAAAAACGCCCACAAGACCCAGCAAGATGAAGCTTCTCTCCCGCTCTGGAATATGGAGCGAATCTCCATCCTCTGCCCTTCCCTTCTCAGGCTAGGTGAGGAGCGACTGGGAGGGTGAGGGGCAGGGACAGCCAGTGGTGGGATCATTCAACAGGAATCACAGCAGGGGGACGAAAGAGCTACAGGTTGCCGCCACCCGTTGCTTCGGCCCACCTGCCCCGCCACCCACCCCTTTTGCCACAACAGCACCATTACCTTGTTCTGGCTGGCGAGGGCTGCGCTATTCCTTGCACGTTACTCCACCTGCAAAGTTGCAAGTTGCATGTACCTCCCTCTACGGCAGAGATTTCCAGCCCCACCACGAGCTTCCTGGCTGATCCCGTATTCCAGAGCTCTAGTCACAGGACTGGCTATTGGTCATCCCGGAGCAGTTCCTCCACCCGGGACCTTACCAAAATTTTCTCACGGACCACCAGTGGTCCATGGACCATAGGTTAGTGACCTGTTCTAAAATATACCGGTGCAGTTAAGTTGCTCTGTAAGCAAAATTGGTGATTTTTAAATTTGATACATGGCTAGATAGCTAGGGATAGACAGATAGCATATATTTTATGCTGGAATAATTCTTCATTTTATAGAGGTGAAAACATCTCCAGGTATTATTAAAATATCTCCCGGTATTATCCGGGCTTTATTATTTACTACTAATTATTTATTTGGATTAAATTATGATTTTATTGTACTTGTTTCTTAACTTGTGTTCGCCGCCCTGAGTCCTTCGGGAGAATGGCGGCATATAAATACATGAAATAAATAAATAAATAAATAAATAAATAAATAAATAAATAAATAAATAAATATTACATCTCCTATCAGTCAGTGAAAAAGAATGAACATACAAGTTTTCCTCTGTCAATATTTGGAGGCTTAGTTATCTCCCCCTATTGAGTCCCAATATATGGATGGGGAAGAACTGACTATGATTCAATCCTACCAAGTCCGTGGATATTAGAGGTATTATAGTCTTAGATCCTAGGACTTTCCATGCATACTCTTACCAGATGGGATAGAACTTTCCTGTTCAAGAGTATGTGCAATCTGGAGATTTCTTGGATTCACACTTCTTGAAGAGCAGGCAGCAACTGTGGCCCCTTCCTCAGCTCCTTTTGATACACCAGTTGTACTCTTTCCCAGGTTGGGAAGCGAAGCCCTTCAGACAGTAGCCTCAAGGCTCAACTAGTGCAGTGTGCTCTGCATAAAGCTATATTTGAAAATCATTTGATCCTTAGCTGGTCCAAAATAGAGCAGTTCGGACAGTAATGGACATGCCTCAACGTGTCCATGTGACACCTCTGCTGCCCCAGCTGCATTGATTGCCAGTATGCTTCCTAGTGTGAGTCAAGGTGCTGATTATTACCAAAATATTCTACATATAATAAGTTACATGAAAGACCCTGTTTCCCATAGATTCTGCCTGGCTGGTACATGCTAGCAGAGTTGGTGCTCTGCATCCTTTCTTAAACAATCTCAACTGTTAGCATTCAGTAAGGATACCTTTTCTGATGCCATGCCTGCCCTTTTGAATGAGACCCTGCCTGAAAACTCTATGGCTGTCATCCTATTTGTGTTCTGTAAAGCCTTGAAGATTGATTGTTTTCCTAGGCCTTGATGTGAGACAGGTGGGGCCCCTTGGGCATGTTTGCTACTTTTATTTTCTGTTCATTTTTGTCCCCAGATGCTATCTTGTTGTTTTAGTGGTTTTTATGCTATTATTTGTGAACACTCCAAAGCAGTTGGATTCAGGTTGTGCCCAAATAAGATAGTTCCCTACCCTGAGGCTCTATAGAAACAGTACTGGCTGTAATTATATTGATCAGTTAAATGTTGATTAATTGCTTTCAGCTTCATAATTATTTTTTTATTTGGTGTCTTCCATTATCAGATGTTGATATAAACATGAAGAACTGAATGTAATATGCCTAAATTTAGTTCTACTATTTAGTTCTACTATTTAGTTCTACTATTTAGTTCACTTTTTGTTAGTTGTCATTTCCCTTTATATTCAAATCGTCATATATTTAAACCTGATAGGTATATTTTTGGTTGAACATAATAAAGTATGGTTAATGGAAAATTATCCCTGTGCTGTGAAAAGAAGGGATGACAAATATATAACCTACAATTTGTGTGCCCATATTTAGGCAGCCACTTTTCATCTCTCAAAGAAAATTATCAGTACAAAATCAGATAAAGTTATTTCTTCAGAAATTTATATATAGACGATATTAAGTTCAACATGAAAAATTTATAGTATTGGGGGGATTAATAAAAAAACAGGCATTCCTGTTTTTATTAATTGGCACATTTTGTTTACTTTGCACGGCGCAGGTGAGAATGTATTCACGAACAATAGCCATAATAGGTGGATTTCTGATCTTGGCAAGTGGCGCTGGTGAGATCTACCGCCAGAAACCACGGAACAGATCATTGCAATCTACTGGGCAAGTTTTCATTGGAATCTACCTCATTTGTGTGGTATGTACATGAAAAAGGTCTGAATCGACCTCCTCTTTCTTTTCCATCCTCTTTTACTAAATTTGCTGCTACGGGATTAAAAAATAGTAATGAGACAGATAGTGGACATATTGCGTGCACCATAAAACAGGGATCAGATTAGAGATCAGCAGTCCTTGCAGATAGTGAACTGTCTCACAAGTGCTCATGTGTAAATGCACACAAACATACACAGACGATAAGAGCTTACATTTATTTCTTAAAATACAATTTTTAAGACTCTGCAAATGCCACTAAAGTACAATAAATGCTATATTCCAATAGAATGTAGGATTCGTAGCTCAGGGTTGAATTGTGGAGTTTTTGGAGTTCTCTGAGCTTGATTATTTATTTGCATATATTTCATTCTCATCAGTGCAAGTAATAAAACACCTGCTAGCCAACAACTAAGCTCAGAGAGCACCAAGAACTTCAAAAACTTCATACAGAACCACCAAGCTTTGTGTTACATAAACAGGGAGCATTATTTGTATATCGGTAGTCTTTGTTTAGTGATCCTTATTGAGATCAGAATTTCCATCACTAAATGAAGCAGTCACTAGATGAAACATGTGACTACATGGCTTAGCAATGGCAATTCTCATAAGTCCCAGTTATGGCTGTTAGATGGCAACTGCACTGCTGTTGGCAAGGTCCTTATGCTTCTGCCCTCCACAAATTGCCAGCTTTGTCCTGCTGCCTCCTCCCAAGATGGGCCTGGTAAGTTCCCTTTGGCAGATTTGCCTCGCTTCAACCCGACTATTCCACCCTCCGCATATCTGCCTTTTTGGCTGCCCGGCCTTCTGTCATCATCCGCAGCCTCCCCAGCTGACCTTTGCCATGGAGGCCTCACAAAGCTGTTGTATAGACTAATAGCAGGAGGAACAGCGAAAGTCTTTTTTCGTTTTTAAGAGCCTAGAAAGTTACTTATCTGAAATGATACGAATTCTGCTGCTTGAGCAGAGGGCTAGACTAGAAGATCTCCAAGGTCCCTTCCAGCTCTTTCTATTCTAAGGGGAGCTGGGGATGGGTGTGTGTGGAGTGCAAGGTGCAAAGTATTGTGAAGGTCCAGCAGGTGCCTTAGCTGGTTATCTCTTCAGCAGTGGGAGGATGAAGGGCAGCCAAAAGAGCAGAGAATGAGGAGATAGATGGATTTCTGTTGGAAACTTTTGGATGGGAGGCTAGGAATGACTCAGGTTGACTCAGCCTTCCATCCTTTCGAGGTAGGTAAAATGAGGAACCGGATTGTGGGGGCAATAAGCTGACTTCGTATAAGAAAAAAAAGAACACCGCTTGGGGGGGGCCGAAAGCCCTACTAAGCAGGTATATACCAAAGTATGAAGGCTATTGCTTAACACATTGTAAGCCGCCGTGAGTCTCTGGAGAAGGGCGGCATATAAATCGAACCAATAAATAAATAAAATCTCCCATTTTTTGAGATCCTACATCCTACATTCTAAAATGAGAGTGAATAAGCTTCTAGAATAAAGGATTAAATAATTAATTTCCAAAATTATAAATAAATGAAAGAATAAATAATTTCCAAAATTGTTTCTGTTTTTTCTGTCCAAAATTGTCTTTAGTTGAAACTGAGCAGGATCCAGTGTACACCTTGAAAAATGTAGTCAACCAATTATGGGAGAAAAGCCAAAGAAAACCATGAACAGGTCTGAGCCTGAAAAAACAATCTAATGCAAACAATAAAAAAATACTGTCCCACTTGGAGTTTAATAAATCCAGTGCGGATTTCCTAACAGCAACAATTGGAGAAATAGAAATTGCATAGAAGTTTATATCCATCTCCCAATAGGCATACCTTGTAGAAGGGTTAGGCTTCTATGTAAACCAACATTCCAATTTATTCTTTTCAGGCCTACTCTCTTCAGCACAGCAAAGAAGATCGCCTGGCCTATCTTGGTGGTATCCTGGGTGGGGAGATCCTCCTACAGCTTCTCTTTGTTCTCTACGGTGTCCTTGCTCTGTCCTTTCTATCTGGTTATTACATCACCACAGCTGCTCAGATCCTGTCGGTAATTCTTCCTCTGGTCATCCTCTTCATTGATGGCAATCTTGGTTTCTGGCACGATTCTTGCAGAGTTGAATTCTGGAATCAAATGAAGTTGATTGGCCAAAACGTTGGGATTTTTGGGGCCTCCATCATTTTGGCCACAGATGGCTGAGCATAACCCAGGGGACTTGAGGGACTATGCTTGATTTCAGGCCAGGGAGAGGAGAAGACTTCTGGAGAAGGAACTGGGATGATTTTAATTAATTGCTTATTTATTTCGGTTTTACTGCATTGTTGAAACTTTTTGCTCCTTTCCACTGGCAGATAAATGAACTTATATCCTTTCTTTATAATGTGGGATCATTTCTATTTTTTTAATTTTATTTTTGTCAAGGACAGTGCAACAGCTGTCCTATTTCTTGAGCAATAGAAAGTGAAAGATTAAGGTCTTTAATTACATCCGTGAGGGTTCAGGGTTTTGGTGTCCTCTAGTAGAATTGATTTAGATTTCTGTTTTCAGTCTTTCAGAAACTTAAAGAAAATTTGAACACAATTTCCACTTGGTATGCTGCTGGGCCTGAACAACACTCCTGGGTTGAGTAGACAGAGATAGAGAGATTTTGAATCATTTTACTTTGGATTCAAGAGTATGAATATGATAGTGGTGGTTCTCAGAATGTGTAGTTTTTTTATATCGTGGGGCTTCTGACTATTGATAATTCTCAAAGAGGCTAAGATAAATGGTAAAGTCATTGGCTAACTTCTGCTCTACTTGTATGAACACATTTGTGAAACTGTATTATACTCTTCCAGACAAGCATGAAGTCCAAACAATGACCAATTGGGTAAAATATTATTTTATTCATAGTGGGTTTAGGAGTGAAGAGACTCCAGTATTTATATATTTAGTGCATCAGCTAAGAACACTTACTGTTGAAACTGGATGGTAAAAGGAAAGTCGGTTTTTTTGTTAAGTTCCTATAGGGAGAACATTTAGAGCTGGATTCAAACTAGCTGCAAGTGGAGGGAAAGAAATTTGGATATAATTTTCCCTGATTTAGATGCCTCAGATTTTGTGGTACTGGAACTAATTAGGGATGGACGATATTTGAAATGGTAGATGATTGCATCTCTGCCTCATGATTTTTAAAATTATATGCCTGTCCTATGACAGAAAATAATGGAGTGAATTTGCAGTCTGTGATTTTATGCTTTTTTTTTTTTTTAGGAAGATAGAGATTGGAAGGCCCTTAGCTCACCTATCCCCATCGCTAAATTTTGGAAACCCCACTTTTTAAGGCTAATTTTAGCTCATTTTTAAATACTTTCTTTTGGAGGAAGGTTAAAAGTGGAGAATGGAAGTGAAAGGAAAATGTTCCCAAAATGCCATTTCTTGCAGCATTTGTGGAGAGTTTAAATGTGGGAGAAAGTGGGACAGTTTGTCTCCCAGAGGTATCAAAACTGGGAATATGTTAAAAGCCTGGACTATGCAAAAATCCAGGCAAAATTGGCCTGTGAGAAAGCAGTTTGGGGTCATTATGGGAGATGAGTCTTAAGGATGCTGGTGAGAATGAGAGGCCCGTGAATCCATCACTTCTATCAAGAGCATAAGAAAGACATAGAACCTCAGATCACAGGCCCATATTTATTTCTGTGTGAATAGTGAAGCTGTGGGGAATGAGACGAAAAATGAATGATACTGGATGGGAATTACATAATTTGGATCAAATAAAATTATGATACTGAAGACTGCAGGAATAGAAGAAGAGCTTTTCTCATACATTGAAGTTCTTCATAATGTTAACCTCTAGACGAGGTTGCTACCTAACAAATATATTGATTTTTTTCACCGTCATTGGTAGATTATGTTATTAGAGGCACTAGAATCTCAATCAGTTAAAGCAATAGGCTGCCATAGTACACGCTTAGCCACCTCGACTCTGAATCCGGTTTTCTTTCAGTTGACCATATGTGATCTGGGTACAGTAGAATCCATGTTCATAATAATGTTTAGGCAGCTTTTCCTATCTCTGTAATTGCATTCTTCAGGCCAGAATACATTCAGACTATTTCTTTCCAGAACACATTTTTGACAATAATCTTGTCTGAAATGTAATTTGCATTTGGAAAAATCCAGTGTACCTCTTGAGATGTAAGGGTGGAATATTTTTATTCAGAGCCTCTCAAGGAATTTAATATGCTACTCAGGAATCATTGGTTTAAAATCCAGCCCCATAATGGGTTTTTATATGTATTCACTCTCAAAGGAGAGATGCAGGAATTTGGAAAATGCTGCCATTCTGGAATCATAGCCTATTTCAGCTGTCTTAGCCATACACTATGTTGCCTTTTCCTCCTCATTGGCAGGCACCATTGATTTGCTGCATCTTCAGGATTTCCTAATACGTATTCTGCATTTGGAAGTTTAAAAGACAATAAACGCACTTTTCTATTAGTATATCTGTCTTTCTTTCCCAGTGGTTGTTTTGTTTACTCTCTTAACAGCTTGCTGAACCCCAGTAGCCCAGTTAGCAATGCACCAACAATTGTATGATGTACAATTCTTCTGGACAACTTCAGCAAGAAAGATAAGAGAGGCAACAATTCGCGTTCCAAAGTTCCAAGACCATTTATATGTTCAGAGATCCTCTAATATACAAGTAATCCTTGATTTATGATGTTTGCTTAGCAACCATTCAGAGTTCTGATGGAGCCCCCAAAAGAGTTACTTACAACTTACAACCCAGTTCCATTGGCCATCTCCCCTCCCCTGCACGGTTATGTGATCATATTTTGGCCATTCGACAACAGGTCCACATTTGTGGCAATTTGCAATGCCCCATGGTCATTTGACCACAGTTTACAACATTTTGTTGAAAACTGGTGTTTACTTCAAGTTTTTGGCAAAAACAGCCCACTGTTAATAATTGGTTCGCTTAACGGCCATGGAATTCACTTAATGATCTTGGTATTCATTTTACAATTGCAGTAAATGTCATAAAATCAGATCTGAACATATGATGATCCACTTTACAACCATCATGTTTTATAACTGTAATGGGCAATTGACCAATTGGCGTTGCAGCAGGACGGATATGGGATAATGGAGCTCCGTGGGGGCTTTGCGAAACCCAGCCGATACCTGCTTGCCAGGAGACCCTATGGGGCCAAAGCCACCCTGGAGGGGTGGTGAAGAAAGGAGGGATGTTTTGCAGATCACGAGGAAACAGCAATTTCCTCGTTTGATCCAAAGAAAACCCTCCTGACCGGCAGGAGAGACAACAGCCATTTTTGGCAAGATCGAAGCTGTGACAACTGGGATAAGAAGAATATGTGCTGGAGCGAGTTGTGGGCAGTGGATTGAAACTGGGTGAGATAACTCAACTTCTATATTAGATACTTAAAACCAAATAAAAGTACATTTAGAAAAAAAGATTCTCCAAAACATTAAGAAAGGGGCGATTTATCTCATGGAGAAAGATCACATACCTAAAAGTGAAACAAACTATTAAGGGAAGTTTGTGAAGCTTTAAAATAAAGACTGGATTGGGACTGTTAGCAGTGTGAAAAGGGATTTATTTTGGATAATATTGTTTGATTATTGGAAGAATTCCTCTAAAGAAAGAGGAATTTTGCTTTTCATTTTTCCTCCCCCTCCCCTCCAAGTTTTATGGAGTTTTACAGTGTCTAAAGCTGGATTTTAGAGCAGGAGCACCATCTACTGATCAAAGAAGATATGATATTAGTGTTTTATGGGAATAACCTTGGATGAAGAATTACTTGAGATAAATACATTAATAACAAAGGAAATAGTGAAAGACAAACAACATCTGGAAGGCTTTTTTATTTTGGTTCCACATCAACTCGAGTTTTTGCTGCCTGGAAGTATTAGGGAGCCATTTGAAGATTTTAAAGGCAAGGTGGATTACAATTAACAAGAAACATCTTTGAAACTGTGTATCTGACTTGGATTAAAGGTATTTGGGGAATTTGGTGGGCCAATTTGGAATACTAAGAAGAAAGAAGAAAAATTGAATAAGACTTAACATTTGGAAAAATCAGAGGGTACAAATTGGATAATTTTAAGGATTATACTGTAAATTTAGGACAGTTTGAGGAACAATTTCAGGGCCATGTAAATTTTATTAATACTGGTGGGTTTGGTGTTTCTGGATAATTGGGATATTGAAAATTTGGTGGTATATTGAGCAATGATTAATGTAATATCTCAGCACAAAATGCATCAGCAGGAGAAAAAAAAGCAGTCTATAAAGAAATAATGTTGATGTTTCAATGCATTAAGGAAGATATAACAAGGAATCATGAGATGATGGAATTGATGCAAGATATGGTGAGATTTTCTCAGTTGCGATGTATGGCTGTGAAAGTTGGACCATAAGAAAGGCTGAGCACCAAAGAATTAAGGCCTTTGAACTATGGTGCTGTATGGTGGAGTAGAAGACTCCTGCGAGTCCCATGGACTGCAAAGCGATCAAACCAGTCAGTCCTAGAGGAGTTCAATCCTGACTGCTCTTTACAAGGCCAGGCCCTGAAGATGAAACTCAAATACTTTGGCCACCTAATCACTGGAGAAGTGCCTAATGCTGGGAAAGATTGAGGGCAAAAGAAGAATAGGACAACAGTGAACGAAGTGGCTGGATGGAGTCACTAGATGGAGCTTAAATGGACTCCAGAGGATGGTAAAGAACAGGAAAGCCTGGAGGAACGTTGTCCATGGGGTCCCGATGGGTCGGACACAATTTTGCAACTAACAATAATGGTGAGATTAGGAAAACCCCAGCAAAGGACAATAAAAAATGAAGAAAAAATTCAGAAAATAGAGGCGAAAACAGAAAGTGTTGAAGAAAAAATAGAGGAGATAATTCCAAAATTGATACAAGTAGACAAATAGATAGCAATAATTTTGAATACGGAACAAATAGAATATTTTTTTAAGAATTCAAAATAGAAAAGAGAATAATGAAAAAGATCCTTTAAAAATGATGGGGAAACTGAGGATGGGTACTCTAAAGATTCCACAGCATGCTGTAGCAGCAGAAATATTATAAAAATGACAAAAAGAGTTACAAGATACCAGCGGAGAAGCGGGACAGATTCACCACAAAGCTAATAAGAGTTGAAATTCTAAAAAGGACAAGAGATGATGAATAGACATAGAATACTTTTTAACATGGTGGTTAGTCTAATAAGTGTTAGAAAAAAGTAGTAGAAAGTAGAAATTGGGAAAATAATATGTATACTGAAATATAATAGAACATATTATGATTGCTATGTATATACAAATGTTAGAAGTTGAAAAAGTATGATTATGTATATTTAAATGGTAAAATACTATCAGAATTGTATGCAAAATATATTGACCAAGATAATACACTGTCCACTAAACACTTATGGATGTTAAAGAAAAAAATATAAATAAAATTATTATAACTGTAATGGGCAATTTCCATTATGTTTGTAAGTGGAGGACTACCTGTAATTGCAGGATCGTCGGTGCTTTCTGACTTTGTTTTCTTCAGACATTTCATTACCTAACTAAGTAAAAACATTGCCACACTACTGATTGTGAGCTAAAAATATTCTTATCAGTACTACCTGTAATCTTTCCTAATGGACTTGCTGTCTGGTTGGTGAAATAAATTGTATTCCAATACATCTGGAGTGCAGTAGGTTGGGAAATGCTACTCTGTTATAAAGTGGGATATATCTTTAATAATTATATCTTGCATATTTCTATGCGTAAAAAACTTACTGCAATGGCACTCTCAGTATATGGAGTTCAGCTGAAGAAAACAAGAGCATTGGTGATCTCAGCAGTGAAAAGCTAGAAAAACAGAAGAGGGTAAACAAAGGGGAACAGCTTACTTTGAGTTCCTTTGGAACTTTGTAGAAAATTGATGAGAATGTGAGAATAGATGGGATTGAAGTTTAATAAATCTGGGTTAGAGGCCGCATCGCGCCTTTGCGGCCTCTGACCCAGTGCCGTTCTCAATTGGCTCCTTGGTTCTCCGAGGAGCTGAGAGAGATGAAGCGCCGGAAAAGACGCCTAGAGAGCGATTGGAGGACCAGCCGTGCCGAATCAGACTGGACACTGGTGAGGTCTTATATCAAGACCTACCTAGTGACAATAAGAGTGGTGAAATCAAACTATTTTTCCACTCTTATTGCATCTGCAGAGAACCGCCCAGCTGCCCTGTTCAGGGTGACCCGCTCTCTACTCCAGGTGGGAGTGAGGGAGGACCCCTTGCAGGGTAGAGTTGAGGATTTTGGGCAGTATCTGCATGATAAAATCTCTCAGATTTGGCACGGCCTGGACTCTGATTGGATAGTTTCGGACAGGATGACGGAGGCAAATCTTGAGACTGTTATCTGGGAGAAGTTTGACCCTGTGACTCCTGAGGACATGGACAGGATTTTGGGGAGGCTTAACGCTACCACATGTTTACTGGACCCGTGTCCCTCCAGGTTGGTACTGGCCTCCCGGGAGGTTACACGAGGCTGGTTTCAGGAGATTACCAACACTTCGCTGGGTGAGGGTGTCTTCCCAGCCACCTGAAAGAGGCAGTGGTGAGGCCCCTCCTCAAGAAGCCTTCCCTGGACCCGACTGTTTTAGCTAATTATCTTCCTGTCTCCAACCTTCGCTTTGCGGCGAAGGTTGTCAAGAGTGTGGTGGCAAGGCAACTTCCTTGATTTCCCGATGAAGCTGTCTATCTAGATCCGTGCCAGTCGGGCTTCAGGGCGGGTTACAGCATGGAAACGGCATTGATCGCATTGGTTGATGATCTCTGGAGGGCTTGGGACAGGGGTTGCTCCTTTGTTCTGGTCCTCCTAGACCTTTCAGCGGCTTTTGATACCATCGATCATGGTATCATGCTGCGTCAGCTAGAGGGGTTAGGAGTGGGGGGCACCGTTTTACGGTGGTTCTCCTTCCTCTCTGACCATACGCAGTCTGTGTTGACGGGAGGGCAGAGGTCGACTTCGAGGTTCCTCACTTGTGGGATGCCGCAGGGATCGGTTCTCTTGCCCCTCCTGTTTAACATTTATGTGAAGCCACTGGGCGAGATCATCCGTGGCTTTGGGGTGAAGTGTTAACTGTATGCCGATGACACGCAGTTGTACATTTCAACCCCAGGCAATGATGCCCTTGACATGATGTCCCATTGCCTGGAGGCCGTGCGGATCTGGATGGGGAGGAACAGGCTCAGACTCAACCCCTCCAAGACTGAGTGGCTGTGGTTTCCGGCGTCCCGATATAGCCAGCTCACTCCATCGCTGACTATTGGGGGTGAGATCTTACCCCCCTCAGAGAGGGCTCGCAACTTGGGTGTCCTCCTGGACTCATGGCTATCTTTGGATGATCATATGACGGCCGTGGCCAGGGGGGCTTTTTATCAGGTTCGCCTGATTTCCCAGTTGTGCCCCTTTCTGGATCGG